TGCAACTGGGCGTCGATGTAAACCCTTACCCAACACGAAACCATGTACAAATTTTTTGCGACCCTCATCCAGACAAGAAAAATAGTAATTACCAACCATGTACCATTTTCAGTGATTTGTACTGACACTCAATTCTTAAAAAGCTTTGCGCGTGTGTGCGATACCATTATTTATTATTATTATATTTTGTTTTGCAAAGGACGTACCATCCCTAACAAAAGCCTTTCCCTAGAGATCTTCATATATCTTTTGTGTTTTAGAGACGTTCTTTATCTTGAGGGACGTTCTTGTGCATTGCCTTCCAGAGGTAGTCTTTTGATCTACCCCGTTTTTCCTTTATGTGTAAATTCGATTTGCCCTTTTCCACGTGTCATTTCAGATGTCCCAAACATTTCAACTTCTGTCCTTTTAGCGAATTTAAAACCAAAAAAAGCTTCAAGGCTGTTTTCTAACTAGTTTTTCTGTCTCGATAACCTTCATAAAAACTAACATTGCAATCTCCCTGAATATTCTAAAATACACACACAGGACAACTTCCTGTCACAGTCGGCACTCCACCGCAGCCAAGTACTTTGCTTTTGTGAATCTCGTCTCACAATTGCCGACAGGTGTCAAAACATTGGGGCTATTATACGTAATTATGCTGCAAACGTCTATCTAAGCTGGAGCTCAATTGCCCGCTTATAAAAGCGGACTAACACAAAGATTATTAGTTAGAGCAGTCAGTCTGTCAGTCAGTTCTGGGCATCTACTGTTATATTTTCGTGTCACAGATCTTACTCCTCACATAATACGTCGTTCTAATCCAACTGAAAAATAAGACAGTCTTCTGATCCAAAGTTTAAGTTGATAACCAGCATAACAGAGCGCGAAGAAGGTAGCCGGAGAAGGTCAAACAGAAGCACACTGACTCAGCTATCATCAAAGTCATGAATGAAGTCGGAAACCTCTCCGGAGAATCATTGGGGATGGTGAAGACAAACAACAGTAACACTTCCTCATTACATTGGCTCTGTGACCAGCAGCTCTCCGAAGTGTTTTCAAAGGAGGCAAACATCGTGTTTTACGTTGGAGCTATAGTAATGGCTTTGATAGGCAACGGCCTCCTAATAGCTGCTTACAGAAGAATGAAGGAGACGATCATGCTTCTTATAGCTAACATGGCGGCCTCCGATATCTTGATAGCAATATTTCTACCTACACGCATGCTTGCAGCCGAAGTTGCAGATTCTCCGGCTTGGCAAGTATCGGGATTAGGAGGACGGATTTTGTGTAAGATATGTCCGTTCTTAAGTGACATATCGATTTCAGTGTCATCTCACAGCTTGGTGATAATTGCAGTCGACCGTTTTCTTGCCATCTTGCACCCTTTAAAAGCACGCCTCATCACTGTGAGAACACGCCGCCTTCTCATTGCATCTACTTGGATTGTGGCCATGGCTATTCACACGCCATATTTCTTTGCCTTTGATCTTGATCATAAAAAAAGGTGTCTAATGACATGGGATATCGACAACAAATCGGTCTTTCTTCGCTACAGCATTTTTTTATTCGTCACAGTGATATATCTACCTGTTATTGCATTGGTGATTATTTACCCTATTACTGTGTTTTACCTAAGAAGAGACATAATGGCCGAACACCGAAACGGCTGTGGGACTGGGAAAAAACGCTTTCGTCAAAGAAGTATGAAATTGTTTAGGCTAGCCACGGCAACAGTACTGTCATTCATAATATTCTGTCTGCCGTTTTCAACGATATCTTTGCTCAAATATTTTATACCAGAAAAGCTTCCTCAGTGCAATTATCTTTTTAAGGCAATATACCAAGTCTCTCATGTGTTGATGATATCATACAGCGCGGTGAATCCCTTCATTTGTTTCATATTCCTGCGAAATTTTCGAAACGAGTTAAGAAACATTTGTAAAAGAAGAAAACGCAATGCTTATCTCGCGACTACAAGTAGGAATAGAACAAGAAGCGGGGGGTCGAGTAGCGGTACTATGTATAGCCTGAGTATCAGGCCTTCCTAAGGGGCTAGGGGAGAGGAGATTTTAGATGCGCCTTCTTAGTGAGCTCTCTCCCTTTTTCGCTTCCATCTTTCCCCTTTTCCCCAGAAACGCCTGATACTCAGGCTATACTATGTATTGTCCAAATGACCCCTTCAGATGAGTTCTCATACGCAAATGTCGTCACATTCAGCGCAGACGTTTTGACTTCCGCTTCCCCTACGTAATCAGTGAGGATCGGCAGGTGTTGCTACTTACACAGTTGTAAGGAGAGATTTTCCATGTATTCTTTATTTGCCTCAAATTCCATATCTAGTTTTCAATATTCCCTTTGAAGTTGTTTTAGCCGTATTTTACATTGAATTTGCATTGATATGTTTTAGTTCCCTTAAATTATACACAATTTACTTCGATGTTTACTTTTAAAAGGATAACTAGTTACTAAATAATTATATACCTTGGTCACTGAATAACTGGATCTTTCGCCTGTTCAAGTATCAACCGTGTTAGTTTTTAGTTTTGACATTTTAAGGAATCCTGAGCAAAGGAAACTTGAATTCTTCTGCACTGCTTTACTGCTGAATCTTTGTACTTTCCGAAATTCATTTCCCCGACTGAAATTTAATTTTGAGTCATTTAGTTTCACATATCAACTTTAAAGCTGAATTTATCCAGATTTGTTTTCGGTGTTCAGCTGATTTTATTCAGCATTCTTTCCATTTGTTTTGTGATGTTGTAATAATGTTAGTATAAATAGAGCCCTGTTATCCCATTTTTCGATTTACATTGCGAATTTACGTGCTTTTATGAGGGTCTCAATGGGGTGGTGGCTTTTACGGTTATCGGCTAAAATTTTGGCTCTTTTACGGCTATCGCTTAATTTTTTTCAGTTACGGTTAACTATAAAGTTAAAAATTAATCTATTTGTTTCAAAGAGTTAACTATTCATAAACCTGTATTTATTTGTATCTTGAAAGCAAAATAAATGTCTTAGGATCATCTCGGGATGAAAAGTTATTCTTCTGAAAATTTTTAATATTTCAGAAATCATGCTTTTAGAGTATTCCACTTCTATTATCATTTTACGCATAGAAATGTTAACTATGAAAACGTTTGTCATCTTTTGCACCTTGGCGTGATTTCCTTTTCTTCAGGGGCTACTGATTCGTTCTTCGCGTCGCTTTGTATTTGATACCCTCTTCACTTTTTACTACCACGATAGGGTCTTTACCCCACGGAAGAACAAATTGTACAAAATGAACTAAAAAAGAACAACCATACAGACTGAGACTCGAACATTTCTGTGACTCTCACATTTACAAGTGTCGGAGCCAAGCTGAGAAGTACGCGGCTTTGAAGATCTTTGCCGCAGTTTGCTCGTTCTCTTAAAATGACATGAACTCTTTGTTTAAAATAGAAACAAAAGGTTAAGCTATTGCCAGTCAACTAAAATTTTTTGTGAGCCATGAAAAGGACCATTCCTAATAAAAGACATAACAGAGTCAAAGTAGCCGCGAAATAAGAAACACGACCGTTCTAAGTGAGTTTAGCACGTTCCTCAAAATTATTAAATCTAGGGAGCAAAATTTTTTTACGGTTAACTCTTTTTACCCTATTTACGGCTAACGGTTAAAACATTTCAATATTTACAGCTATCGACTAAATTTTGGGCCATTTTACGCCTAGCGGTTAACCCCATATTGAGACCCTCTTTTATGATTTACATTTTGGATGCTCATGCCTGTACGATTTACGTCCACGAGCTGAAGATTAAACTGTTGAAGTTCGAGTTCGAGTGCTGTCCTGTTTCCCAGTTGTATAACAGATCCTAGTACCGCGGAACAGTGACGAGTTCCTTTCCCGCTAGCCAAGCGAGTTGCAGAGTTAGTTTTCCCCCATGTTGTTCACACGCCAAAGTCGCTCGAATTCCCTTTACACTTATTTTCCCCGATTTGAGCTTGGAAGGGCAAAACCTATCGTCACACAGTGACTTGTTTAGGTTTAGCTATTGGGATCAAGTGTTATTTTTCCTTTGCCTTCAGGATTGAGAATTTGATTGACTGATTGGTTGTTTAGTTGGTGTTATATTGTTTTCCTTTTTTCTTGGCATCTTTGATTATATTTTGTTTTGCAAAGGACGTACCATCCCTAAGAAAAGCCTTTCCCCAGAGATCTTTATATATCTTTTGTGTTTTAGAGAAGTTCTTTATCTTGAGGGACGTTCTTGTGCATTGTCTTCCAGCGGCAGTCTTTTGATCTATCCCGTCTTTCCTTTACGTGTAAATTCGATTTGCCCTTTTCCACGTGTCATTTCAGTTTTCCCAAACTTTTTAACTTCTGTCGTTTTATTGAATTTAAAACCAAAAAAAAAGCTTCAAGGCTGTTTTCTAACTAGTTTTTCTGTCTCGATCACCTTCATAAAAACTAACATTGCAATCTCCCTGAATATTCTAAAATACACACACAGGACAACTTCCTGTCACAGTCGGCACTCCACCGCAGCCAAGTACTTTGCTTTTGTGAATCTCGTTTCACAATTGCCCGCTTATAAAAGCGGACGAACACAAAGATTATTAGTCAGAACAGTTAGTCTGTCAGTGAGTTCTGGGCATCTACTGTTATGTTTTCGTGTCACAGATCTTACTCCTCACATAATACGTCGTTCTAATCCAACCGAAAAATAAGACAGTCTTCTGATCCAAAGTTTAAGTTGATAACCAGCATAACAGAGCGCGAAGAAGGTAGCCGGAGAAGGTCAGACAGAAGCACACCGAATCAGCTATCATCAAAGTCATGTATGAAGTCGGAAACCTCTCCGGAGAATCATTGGCGATGGTGAACACAAACAACAGTAACACTTCCTCATTACATTGGCTCTGTGACCGGCAGCTCTCCGAAGTGTTTTCAGAGGAGGCAAACATCGTGTTTTACGTTGGAACTATAGTAATGGCTTTGATAGGCAACGGCCTCCTAATAGCTGCTTAAAGAAGAATGAAGGAGACGATCATGCTTCTTATAGCTAACATGGCGGCCTCCGATATCTTGATAGCAATATTTCTACCTACACGCATGCTTGCAGCCGAAGTTGCAGATTCTCCGGCTTGGCAAGTATCGGGATTAGGAGGACGGATTTTGTGTAAGATATGTCCGTTCTTAAGTGACATATCGATTTCAGTGTCATCTCACAGCTTGGTGATAATTGCAGTCGACCGTTTTCTTGCCATCTTGCACCCGTTAAAAGCACGCCTCATCACTGTGAGAACACGCCGCCTTGTCATTGCATCCACTTGGATTGTGGCCATGGCTAGTTACACACCATATTTATTCGCCTTTGATCTTGATCATAAAAAAAGGTGTCTAATGACATGGGATATCGACAACAAATCGGCCTTTCTTCGCTACACCATTTTTTTAGCCGTCACAGTCATATATCTACCTGTTATTGCATTGGTGATTATTTACCCTATTACTGTGTTTTACCTAAGAAGAGACATAATGGCCGAACACCGAAACGGCCGCGGGAAAAAACGCTTTCGTCAAAGTAGCATGAAATTATTTAGGCTAGCCACGGCAACAGTAATGTCATTCATAATATTCTGTCTGCCGTTTTCAACGATATCTTTGCTCAAAGTTTTTGTTCCAGAAAAGCTTCCTCAGTGCAATTATCTTTTTAAGGCAATATACCAAGTCTCTCATGTGTTGATGATATCATACAGCGCGGTGAATCCCTTCATTTGTTGCATATTCCTGGGAAATTTTCGAAACGAGTTAAGAAACATTTGTAAAAGAAGAAAACGTAATGCTTATCTCGCGACTAACAGTAGGAATAGAACAAGAAGCGGGGGGTCGAGTAGCGGTACTATGTATAGCCTGAGTATCAGGCTTTCCTAAGGGGCTAGGGGAGAGGAGATTTTAGATGCGCCTTCTTAGTGAGCTCTCTCCCTTTTTTGCTTCCATCTTTCCCCTTTTCCCCAGAAACGCCTGATACTCAGGCTATACTATGTATTGTCCAAATGACCCCTTCAAATGAGTTGTCATACGCAAATGTCGTCACATTCAGCGCAGACGTTTTGACTTCCGCTTCCCCTACGTAATCAGTGAGGATCGGCAGGTGTTGCTACTCACACAGTTGTAAGGAGAGATTTTCTATGTATTCTTTATTTGCCTCAAATTCCATATCTAGTTTTCAATATTCCCTTTGAGGTTGTTTTAGCCGTATTTGACATTGAATTTGCATTGATATGTTTTAGTTCCCTTAAATTATACACAATTTATTTCGATGTTTACTTTTAAAAGGATTACTAGTTACTAAATAATTATATACCTTGGTCACTGAATAACTGGATCTTTCGCTCGTTCAAATATCAATCGTGTTAGTTTTTAGTTTTGACATTTTAAGGAATCCTGAGCAAAGGAAACTTGAATTCTTTTGCACTGCTTTACTGCTGAATCTTTGTAGTTTCCGAAATTCATTTCCCTGACTGAAATTTAATTTTGAGTCATTTAGTTTCACATATCAACTTTAAAGCTGAATTTATCCAGATTTGTTTTCGGTGTTCAGCTGATTTTATTCAGCATTCTTTCCATTTGTTTTGTGATGTTGTAATAATGTTAGTATAAATAGAGCACTGTTATCTCATTTTTCGATTTACATTGTGAATTTACGTGCTTTTATGAGGGTCTCAATGGGGTGGTGGCTTTTACGGTTATCGGCTAAAATTTTGGCTCTTTTACGGCTATCGGTTAATTTTTTTCAGTTACGGTTCACTATAAAGTTAAAAATTAATTTATTTGTTTCAAAGAGTTAACTAATAATAAACCTGTATTTTTTTGTATCTTTAAAGCAAAATAAATAGGATGAAAAGTTATTCTTCTGAAAATTTTTAATATTTCATAAATCATGCTTTTAGAGTATTCCACTTCTATTATCATTTTACGCATAGAAATGTTAACTATGAAAACGTTTGTCATCTTTTGCATCTTGGCGTGATTTCCTAGCTTTTCTTCAGGGGCTACTGATTCGTTCTTCGCGTCGCTTTGTATTTGATACCCTCTTCTCTTTTTACTACCACGATAGGGTCTTTACCCCACGGAAGAACAGATTGTACAACATGAACTAAAAAAGAATAACCATACAGATTGACACTCGAACATTTCTGTGACTCTCACATTTACAAGTGTCGGAGCCAAGCTGAGAAGTACGCGGCTTTGAAGATCTTTGCCGCAGTTTTCTCATTCTCTTAAAATGACATGAACTCTTTGCTTAAAATAGAAACAAAAGGTTAAGCTATTGCCAGTCACCTAGACTTTTTTGTGAGCCATGAAAAGGACCATTCCTAATAAAAGACATAACAGTTTATTTGAATAGAATCTTCGTGAAAAGCACAACTAGCAGAAACGGGAACGTAAAGAGTCAAAGTAGCCGCGAAATAAGAAACACGACCGTTCTAAGTGAGTTTAGCACGTTCCTCAAAATTATTAAATCTAAGGAGCAAAATTTTTTTACGGTTAACTCTTTTTACCCTATTTACGGCTAACGGTTAAAACATTTCAATATTTACGGCTATCGACTAAATTTTGGGCCATTTTACGCCTAGCGGTTAACCCCATATTGAGACCCTCTTTTATGATTTACATTTTGGATGCTCATGCCTGTACGATTTACGTCCACGAGCTGAAGATTAAACTGTTGAAGTTCGAGTTCGAGTGCTGTCCTGTTTCCCAGTTGTAGCAGATCCTAGTACCGTGGAACAGTGACGAGTTCCTTTCCCGCTAGCCAAGCGAGTTGCAGAGTTAGTTTTCCCCCTTGTTGTTCACACGCCGAAGTCGCTCGAATTCCCTTTACACTTATTTTTCCCGATTTGTGCTTGGAAGGGCAAAACCTATCGTCACACAGTGACTTGTTTAGGTTTAGCCATTGGGATCAAGTGTTATTTTTCCTTTGCCTTCAGGATTGAGAATTTGATTGACTGATTGGTTGTTTAGTTGGTGTTATATTCTTTTTCTTTTTTCTTGGCATCTTTGATGCTCTCTTCTTGTACTTTATGTTGATTAATGAAAATAAAATGTAGGTTCTTTGGTTGTCAACTCTGAAAAAGTTGTCAGTTTATAAACAGACGAGTTCTTACTAAATTGTCAAGCGTCGCACGTTCTTCAACCCTGGGTATTTGCGTTTGTCATATTGGGTTATATCTACTGCGGTATTGTTTTGAAATTCTGGATTAGCCTTCATCGACCTACATATAAATTTTGTAAGTTCAGGATTGAAACCGTGTCGCCTGCATACTAATATTTGACGGTTTAAGGCGCATTTAGGAAGTCTTATTCGAGAATACCTGAAAGCGTCTTAAGTAGATTGAGACGGATTGTAATTGTAATTTTTAGCCTAACAGTTTTTCAATTAAAGTTCAAGTGAGGGGATCATCATGATTTCCAACGGGGCATGTGCTACAACTATCGAGTGAAGACTTGGCAACACCGGCTGTGTTAATTGAGCAATATCCTAAACTCATCTCATACAGGCACGACGAAAACGTAGCACTCTGTTATTTTACAGAAACATCAAGTGAATCAATTTTCCTTTTACTGCAGAACGCAGCCCACTTTTTCAAATAGACACCATACTGTTTTATATTGAATTTTGTCCAAGACTGCAACATTATTTCTCTACCTCATTGTGGAACTACTTCTGTTAAAATGTCTCAAGGCTCTGTCGGATACAAAACATATGGCCACAGCTGTATTTTCTTCTACACGGGGTAGCTCGCATGGGAATGGGGATGAAACAGCTTGACACAGCTTTACCTCCAACTTCTTTTTCTTGAACTTTTTCACTTTTTATTCTAGTTCTTTATGGAGAACTGATAGCATCGTCTTTTCTACATTAAATAAGTCCCCTCTCAAATAAGCCTTCCGTCTCTATTAGCGACCCCGCCCTCCACTTCAAATGGTTTTGAAATAAAGAAGCCTCCCGGAGGCTTAATAGACTATTTTCGGTAAGTTATTTGTACAGGTACTAAAGCTGTCATCGTGCCTTGGGTTCCTTACTCTTCTCTCTCCCTTTAACTTCCTTTTCTCTGATACGGACTTAGGGAGGCGAAGGGCGTTTGCATGGAAAAGGACGCTGGGTGTAGCCATGTCGATAACCTGAATACGTGGGCCACAACCTCTGGATCTTTGCAAACTATTGTTCTTGAAGTAACGCTGTCTTTTGCAACACGACCTTTCGAGCAACTTTATTGGTTTTCTCTATGTACGGCTCCAAGCAAACGTCCGAAGGTATCGCCACCAAAGACAAAACTGTTTGATAGGCTTTTATGCAGACCGGCGAGTGACATATAGTCCTCATTCAACGGCCAGGTTTGATTCACTCTTTGTTCGGCTCATTTTTTTTTTCAACTACAGCCATGCTTTAGCCAGTATATCACCAAAGTAGTTCTGAAGGTTATCTAAGTTATTACCTGATGACCAGGTCAGGTCTGGAAACCTTTCTTTTCGATTTAAGGCTGCTTTGTCGATCATTTTTGCCAGAACTATGACTGACTTGACAACACATGTCTGGGCAAACTGAGTCCTAGCGTAAGAGGATTTGGTCTGCGGCCTTGATCTCTACCAACCAAGCTCATCTACCCTAGTTGTGTCTAAAGAACTACAATTAACAGGTCGAGTTGTTTGTGGCAACATTTAACATCAACTGTTCAATATCATTCGTGACAACTGCTTTTCAGTATCTAGGTCCACTTTCTCCTACCCAAACCTACAACAATCCTGGACAAAACGTTTGGGACACTTAGTCACTTACACATGATGTGTGCATTCTCCAATAATCCCCCTCCCCCCTGGACGTGTTGGGTGTTACTGGCCAAACACTTTTGAAAAATCTTGTAAGTGTATGAACTTCAACTTTGTTCAGGGGGGGGGGGGGAGGGGGAAACCCAGGCATAGCCATATTGACAACTGTAGATTGACGGTCACTCACCAATTTCCTACCAAAAAGGGGAGGGGGTAAGAGCAGTGTCCCAAACCCTTTTGGCCAGGATTGTAGCCTGTACACAGACATTGTTTTATTTTTGTTTTCGTTCTTTTCAAAAACATCGGCGAGCTCGCCAGCAAAGCAAGCGCGCGAGAACTTCCCCCACCACTACCCCCTTGCGCTGGCGGTCAATAAATCCCCTCCGGTTTAAATTTTATCTCTCGCGCTCGACGGACTTTGAAGAGAAAATAGAGGGTCTGTGAACAGGCTAACCCAAACCCTAACACATTGCCATAGAGTAAAGTTTAGATTGACTTGCATCTTAATATATTCGTCCCCAAATTTAGTTCGGTATATAAGATTATTACAAATTAAAATGTTTTTCAAAATCAAGGAGGAAGCGTTCACAGTATTAAGTAATTTTGAAATGCAAATAGAAACGTACGTATATATTTAATATTTGTCACGCCACACTTTATGAAGAAAGCTCAAGGTTCAGACTGTACTTGATGCACCAGCCTCATTGCCGCACGGAACTTCCATACAGTGGGTGGGCGAGTGGTTTGCCATTCTTTGAAGCAATAGGGTGGTAGTATAGTAGGTGGTGGTTCATTATGCAGGCTCGCGCGCACGAAGATGTACTTATAAAACCAATATTCAGGGGGCACCCAACGAGAATATAGTTCAAACCACTTAAACATAGCATTGTAAAACGTATTTTAGTATTTAAACGGTAGATATAGGCATATTTTTATCCCCTAAAAATTTTTCATCTGTTCTGATTTCCTAGCTGAAAGTCTAGTGATCCAAAAATTATAGGGATCAAAACTTACCTTTTCGAAAATTTCAGCCAGAAAAAAGGCTCCCGAAAATTCTAGGTGACTTTTTCAGGGTAAAAAACCGTTAAAAATAGGCAATTTTACCATTTTTTAGATGTTCGAAAATCCTAGGAGAGGCAGGCAAGCAAGGCATTTTACAACAAATGTTCCGAAAATTCTAGATCTCAAATCGTCTTCCGAACAGATATTTTCCGAAAATTGTCGTTGGGTGCGCCCCAATATTGAGAGCCGGTTCTGGAGTGTCATACGAAGTGAATGCGTTATACCTCAGCAACATCGAAAACAGTGGTAAGCTCATTCTAGTATCACTGTGTTTACAACGATGAATAACCAAAACATTTCTTTTTTTAAGAAAGAACGTCGAATGGAAAAAATAGAAGAGTGTTCTGATTCATAGGCCTGAACAGGTGGGGAAAAGATCATTAAAGGATGCATTGGAGCCAGCACAGATCCCTTAGTTAGCTCTTGTCGATCCATGTAGCCGTGCGTATTTTAGAAAACTCAAACGTCTGGAAGATGCTTTAATTTCTCAATAATTCGGACGTGAAATGTGAGATAGTTTATAGATGTAGACGCTACATTCATACGCATCACAGAATTTTTTTCCCCTGAATAAACAACTTTAACTTAAGTCAATCAATCGGATGAAGTATTTTTGTACTAGGTCATTCAAGCTGTCCGAACGGCTGAAGATTTTTAATAATAAAAATAATAATAATATTAATAATAATAATAATAATGATAATAATAATAATAATGATAATAATGATAATGATAATAATAATAATGGTTTATTAACAGATCCACTGGGTGGCTCTTCCCTGTTAAATTACATCAACTACAATAATTACAAAATGAATCAAATCAAGTTATTTACAAATTATGCAATGTACATTTTAAAAGTAGATGCAGGATTACAGTAAAACTAACTAATTACTCTGTTGCTTAAAAAATTCCTTGAAAGTCTTGAGAATGTTCTGTAATCTTGACAGTTTCTAATTGTCTCTGGTAGATTGTTAAATAGCTTCGACGCATTATCTTGGAAAGTGCCGTTTTCGGTCGGGACCACTAATCTAATACAATTGCTTGAGCGCAGTTCCTTGCGACATTCCTGTTTTGCTATTTTAAGATAATCTGGCCAAGTCTCAGTGTTATGCAAAGCTTTAAAGCATGATTTCAGGAGATTCAAATCTCTTCTCTCATTGATTGGAAACCAACCGATTTTAAGTACATCCCGAAAGTTCTTAACATAGTGACCGAGCACAAAACTTGCGGCAGCAAATTGAACCCGTTGCAAACGGCGAAGTAAGAATTGTGGTAGAGCAGGGTAAAAAACCAGATCGGCATAATTTAGTTTTGACAAAATCAATGTTTCTGCGAGTTGCTTTCTCAGCTCATATTTGGCGAGATATTTCAGTTTTCTTAGTATTGATAGAGTGGCGTAGCATCCTGATACCGTGTGCTTGATGTGATCGTCCCACTTAAGATGTTCATTGATGTGGACTCCAAGGTGTTGGCAATATTTTAAAATATTTTGAAACCGAATGAATTAATCAACAGCGGAACAGCTGATCAACGGTTGCTTTTGCGTGAGAGTTTAAAGGTACTTTTGATACCCTCTCTGTTGGCCGGAATTACTTCTCTAAAAGATATGTTATGCTAAGCAGCGAGCGATAAGTT